CCGTATAATTCTTTCTAGATCTCTTCTTTTTAGTGATTACGACTGCAAACACAATAATGGCGATGAGGAGAATGCCACCAATGGCTGCACAAATGATGCCCACCAGAAAGGGCACATTTGACACCGGGAGGTTCCCTGCCACAAAAAAAAAAAAAAAAAATGTACACGGGTTAAAAAGGACGACTCCACTAAACATCGACTATATCCAAACATCCACAGGGCATAACACTTTGATGAATTTAGGAGCATTTATTTATTACAGTTATTTATATAGTGCTGACAATTTATACAGCGCTTTAAATATATCATGAATTTCACATCAGTTCCTGCCTTTAGGGAGCTGACAATTTAAGGTCCTGATCTTGCCTACATGCGCACATACTAGGGCCAATTCAGACAGGAGTCAATAATTCTACCAACATGTAGAAAAAGTGGGGTGGTACTTGAAGGAAACTAATGCAAGTACAGGGAGAACATGAACTCCATCCAGTTGGTGCCCTGCCTTGTATTTGAGCAGAGGACCCCAGTGCTGCAAGGCAGAAGTTATAACCACTTCTGTGATAATACAATAGGCACCATTCTCTGTGCCGCTGGCTACCCGTGCAGATGCAGAACAGTTGCATTTTGTGCAAAATGTTGGCATGGGGGTCCCAGTTCGGGATTGTTGACCTTTTTTTTCCCTGTAAAGTGTATGTAAACCCTAACAAAGAACATCTCTATTTGCTCTCTTTTGATCTGTTAACCGCTTCCCGATTGCCCTATAGCAGAAATACTGCTACAGGGATGCGCAAAATCACGTATGCACGCTCCCTACCTGCGCTGCTATTGGCTCCTCGGCATGTCAATCACCGGGACCGGGCCGCCGATTCTCAGTGATCGTTGGCAGAGCCGACAGGGGAGAGGTCTGTACGTAAACAAACACAGATCTCTCCCCTGTCAACATGAACATGCTGCTTTGTATTGCTCTGCACAATACAAAGCAGCTTGTGTACACAGTAACACACACACAGCACACAGTCAACCCTTTGATTGCCCCAGATGCTAACCCCTTCCTGCCCAGTGTCATTAGTACAGTGTCAGTGCTTTTTATTAGCACTAATCACTCAGTGTCACTGGGGATGTCAGTGGCAGTTAGTCAGTGCCCCCCCAGTGTCAGGATGCCCGCTGCAGACCTGCAATAATTCGCTGATCGCCGCCTTACTGGTAAAAAAAAAAAAAAAAAAAAAAAAAAAAAATTCCAGTATCTATACCGCCATTTGTAAATGCTATAGCTTTCATATAAACCAATTAACTTAAACGTATTGGAATTTTTTTTTTTTTTTATAGCAAAGATATGTAGCAGAATACATTTTGGCCTAAATCTATGACAAAACTTGATTTTTTATATTTTTTACTGGGCATGTTTAATAGCAAAATGTCAAAAATATATATTATTTTTTTTTTTTCAAATTTTCAGTCTTTTTTTGTTTATAACGCAAAAAATAAAAAACACAGAGGTAATCGAACACCAACGAAAGAAAGCTTTATTTGTGGGGGGGGAAAAAAAAGGGGGACATAAATTTCATTTGGGTGCAGTGTTGCATGACCGCACAATTGTCAGTTAAAACGAATGCAGTGCCGTATCGCAAAAAATGGCCCGGTCAGGAAGGGGAGTAAGCCCGGGTTCACACTGATGCAGTGCAGAATTTGCAGCATTTTTTGTGTGAATTCTGCACCGCATCAGAATCGTACCCCGTTCATGCAAACCGATGCGGGTGTGTATGTTAAGTTAACAACATCCCAAAATCAGTCCACAAAACGCGGTGCGATGTGCAGAATCGGATCGCAAGGGTGTGAATACCCATGCGATCCGATTCTAGTGCGGACCCAAAAAAGGGTCCTGCACCTTTGTGGTGTGGATGCGGTGCGATTAGAGCCATACATACGTATGGCTCAAATCGCACCGCACATGATTTGCATGTGATTTGACAAGAAATGTGGTGCGTGGGTCACAGACGTGCACTTAGTTTTGCACTTCTGTAACCCTTTTTCAGCTGACAGGGGGCTAAAGCCTGCAGTCAGCTGACATCACAGAGCAAGTCCAGGCACCTGAAGGATTCCAACCATATTGTCGGGATCCGCCCGGAAGCCTGACCAGCAGCCGCAGTGCTGTGAAGCTGAGCCAGCCATTCCCACTCCTGCACAGCCTGGCACTCCAGTGAGTGCTGGAGGAGCACAGAGAGGTAACTGGCTATCAATGGCTCTTTGCAGACTGATAAATGAGTGATCAGCAGTCTTTGATCATTCAGTTCTTGGTCTTAAGAGGCGGCGGGGGACAGATGCAGCATCAGACCGATGCTTCATCCACCGAGGTGAGTATAGATTTTTTTTTTTTTCAATTCCATACTTCTCTTTACAAGTATCCATTTCCCTCCCATAGGGATGACCATGACCTCTGCTTATCTCTCCAGAAGGACAGAGCCAGCTTTGTTCAGGCGTCATACATACATACATACACACACATATATATACACATACATACACACACACACACATATATACACATACATACACACACACACACATATATACACATACATACACACACACACACATATATACATATACATACACACACACACACACACACATATACATATATAAAATATAATATATATACCATATATTTTCTGCACTGAGAAGCTATCTCTTGCCTGCAGCAAAATGATGACATCATCTCAGCCTAGGCAAGAGAAACTAAGACAACGAGACAACTCAAGGATGGCGTTTTAGCTACTTCAGCTCCAGATGGTTTAACCCACCTCATGACCAGGCCATTTTTTGCTATTCGGCACTGTCCTAATTTTACTGGTAATTGTGCGGTCATGCAATGCAGTACCCAAACAACATTTATATTTATTTCACACAAATAGAGCTTTCCTTTGGTGGTATTTGATCACCACTGAGTTTTTTAATTTTTTTTATTATACAAATGCAAAAGACCGAAAATTCTGAAAAAAAATGTTTTTTTCACCTTCTACTATTAAACCGAACATATTCAGTAAAAAAAAAAAAAAAAATTAAAATTCTTCATAAATTTAGGCCAAAATGCATTTTTACATGTCTTTGGTAGAAAAAAAAAAAATCACGATCAGTGTATATTGATTGGTTTGTGTGAAAGTTATAGCGTTTACAAACTATGGTATATATACACATACTGAAATTTAAAAAAAAAAAATTTTATACTATGAATGGGGGTGATCAGCGACTTATAGTGGGACCAGGGGCGGACTGACAACTCATGGAGCCCCCAGGCAATAGGGGATCCTGGGGCCCCTGTATCCTTGCCCAAACTCAAAAAAGCCTATGAAAAAAGGTACCAGGGGCATCTCATGGGGCCCCCTACTGACCTCGGGCAGTGCCCAAGTTTCCAAATGGTCAGTCCGCCCCTGAGTGGGACTGTGATAGTGTGGTGGACAATCTGACACTGGGTGGGAACTGAAATCACCAGTGACACGAATACAGTGATAAGTGATAATACTATACACTGTCACTGTACTAATTGGCTGGGAAGGGGTTAACATTTAGGGGTAATCAAAGGATTGGGAAGGGGTTAACATTTAGGGGTAATCAAAGGATTGGGACGGGGTTCAGATTTAGGGGTAATCAAAGGGTTAAATGCTTTGCAGGGAGAACAAACAAAGATAGTTCCCTCTGTAGAAACCCTTAACTTGGAAGAGGTCAGAAATGTACAGGTAAAGTCGCTGTGCCTGTAGGAACCACCTGTCTGCAGTACAATGCGGGTAGTGCTGATGTGGTTAATGAAAAAAAAAACAAAAACAAAAACAAACAAAAAAAAAAAAAAAACATTTTTTAAAATTCTGCAGTTGCTCTACATTGTGACATGTCAGCATTTTATGCATGGAGACTTGAATGACTTCTAGATCCAGGTAATTAAGTAGAATCCAAAATCTAACAAATAAAAATCTCCTCTCTGGTGACACAGACAGCATTTTAAACCTAAGGGCCAGTTCACACCACATGCAGTCCAGCACGTTTTTTCCCTGCATCAAAAATGCATTGATAGTAGGTTACAGGGTTTACAATGGCATAGTTCACACCAGCGCGGTCATTTTCAGAAAATAAAAAACATGCTGGATTTTTTCTTTCACTGAAGTGTACTGGACCGCAGTAAAACGCATAACAAAAATGCACCAAAAAGTCCTTATTTACCCTAGGTTCACATCTGTGCGGGTGGTGCCGCTGTGGATCCGCACGAAAATCTGTGCACCCGCACAAAGGAATGCGGACCCGCGGGCGAGTGCCATTAATTCTAATGGCACGCCGCCCGCACTGGAAAACGCAACTGTACTGGGAACAGAGGTTCCTGTGCGGGCTGCGTTTTCCAAAGAAGTGCAGGGACTTCTTCCCTGTGTGTCACGGGGCACGGGAGTCCATTCAAATGAATGGGCTCTCGTGCCCATGCAAAACTCTGCCCGCACAGCCGCATTTATGTGAACCGGGGGTAAAATAAAAGAAAAAGAGAGGGTAAAAAATGAACCGGAATGCATTAAAAACGCACAAGAACGAGTGAAAAAAGGCATCAAAAACACAACGGAACGCGCCAAAAAACACATCTGGTCTGCGTTTCAATGGTGTGAACCGGCCTTTAGGTCCCAGATGTAGTCCAGTGCATTTTTTTCTGTATCAAAAATGAATGATTATTGTTTTCCATGTATTCCAATGGCCCTAGCTCACATCAGTGCAGTCAGTTCCCGGTGCAGAAAAAAAAAAAAAAAAAGTATAACATGCTGCATTTTTTTTTGCACAGATTTGTACTGAAAACAGCTAAATGTATCAGAAATGCACCGAAAAGCAGTGTGGTGTGAACTGTAAGCAACAACGCACCTGGAATGCGTGTTCGTGAAGTTCATAACTAAAAAAAAAAAAAAAAAAAAAACGGGGGGAGGGGTCAAGGCTGGAGTTGGGTTTTTGGCAACCATTCCAAGCCTGCTACTCACCTTTCTCCACCACGCGGAGTTTCAGTTCCTTGGGTTTGCCCCCCACATCATTGGGTATTATGACATCGCATATATACGTGCCGTTGTCTTTGAAAGTCACTTTATCTATCAGAATGGAGGCGTCCTTCTTATTGAGGTCCCCGGCCCAGCTGGTGCGTTCCGTGAAGCGGCTGTCCGACAGGTAGGGCTTCCCACCCATATACACTAGGATCTTCACTGGATCGGCTGTGCTCCCATCCTCTTTGAACTTCCATATGATGACGGTTCCGCTGTGGACCACCTCAGTTGACTTGAAAGTGCAGGACAGTTTGGCTTGAGTGCCGTTTTCTACGGTCAGTTCTCCTGGAGTGTACAACTCTACTGAGCTGCAGAAATCCACTGCAAAAAAAAAAAAAAAAAAAAAAAAAAAAAACAGAAAAGATTCTATTAGGCTCAAAATTGGGATTTTCTAGAAGCCATAGTGCTTTCAATGCTGGCAGTTAAAGTAGAGCTCCACCCAAAATGGGGAAGTCCTGCTTTAAGGACTGGTCCCCCGCTCCCTGTTAAGGATTGGCACCTTGGGGGAACGGGTACCCAAAATACAGGTACCCGCTCCCACTTATGCTGCAATTGCCTAGGCCAGGGGTAGGCAACCTGCGGCTCTCTAGCTGTTGTGGAACTACATTTCCCATGAGGCATTGCAACATTACAAAACTGACAGTTACAGCTATGACTTGCAGAGGCATGATGGAACTTGTAGTCCTGCAACAGCTGGAGAGCTGCAGGTTGCCTACCCCTGGCCTAAGCGATCGGAAGTGGAAGCGGTCCCCCCCCCCCCCCCATAGTCTTCTGGGACAGGTCCCAGAAGACTAAGGGACCATTCGCAAAGCGCAGAGCTACTCGCGCATGCACAGTGGGCACCCGGCTATGAAGCCGCAAGCTGTCACAGCCAGGTGCACACACTGAAGATGCCAGCGCCTGGAACACAGTGCGGCGGCCAGTGAAGCGGGCTGCGGAGAGGACACCGCGGGATCGAGGGACAGGTAAAAGTCCATTTTTTAAAAAAAATCAGCACTTACAGTTTTTGTAGCAGCTGACATTTTTTTTTTATATTCACTGGAACTCCGCTTTAAGTCAGAAGTCCCATCATTTACTCTCAAATAATTTGAGGATTTTTCAGAAGCATATCCGCAGTGAAAGACTACACATTTCTTTCCAGAATTCTTTTAAGCACTTCAGCTCTGGAACATTTACCCCCCCCCCTTCCTGACCGGGCCATTTTTTGCAACACGGTGGACAAGTAGTGGTTAAAATCACTGAAAATAGAATTTTAGGCACACTTTTCTTTTTTTTTTTTTTTTTTTTAATTGTGGATCAAGAAAGGGAAGGCTATAACCCCTTTCAGTTATTTTTTTTTTCTATCTTTGTTCAACAATTTACATTCACTTCCTGATCCATAGTTAAAACAGGAAGGGAGTGGAAATGCCTGCAACTTTAAGGAATCCCTTGGGGCCCCCAAGTCCCCAGAACTAGTGCCCCCTCAATTGAAAAATTTCCCCTCTATTACTTTTCTGCGGATAACCCAAAAATTGTACCAGACTCTTTAAAAATTGCACTGCTTCCAGACCGCAGATACGAGAACCGGCTCCGAAGAAATCCTTTTGGTTCATATGTCATGCAAATCGGATGCAGTTCAAAATGCATCCAATTCACATATAAGTGAACCAGGACTAAAGTTGGGAATACACGATTAGAAAATCAGCCGATCGGTCATCCGACGACCGAGAGGCGTTTGTTCGTTGGTCGAAATCGTGGCCCACATTAACCAATCTAAAAAGATCGTTCGTAAGGCAATACGTAGTGATGACCTCTTCTGTACAAGTGGAAGTGACGCAGTGGGCGTGTGACCTTGTAGCCACGCCCTTCCGGCCAGAACGAGTGATATACACAACAATTACCAGCAATGAGTATAATATCGTTTATTACATTTTATTTATTTATTTCAGGTACTTATATAGCGCTGTCAATGTACGCAGCGCTTTACATATATATTGTACATTCACATCAGTCCCTAACCCTCAAGGGTGTACAATCTAAGATCCCTAACTCACATTCATACATACACATACTAGGGACAATTTAGAAAGGAGCCTATTAACCTACCAGCATGTCTTTGGAGTGTGGGAGGAAACCCACGCAGGCACAGGGAGAACATGCAAACTCCAGGCAGGTGGTGCCGTGGTTGGGATTTGAACCGACGACCCGAGTACTGCCAGGTGGAAGTGCTAACCATTTAGCCACTGTGCTGCCCATATATATACATAAATAGTGATACATAAATATAATCTGCAGAATTCTGGTCTCATGATCTCATTGGGCCAATCTACTTTTAACATTTGGATTGTTAGTTTGTGTTTACGAAGATTTCTTGGACATAAACATCCGAGTCATCTTCTGTTTCCGCTCATGCGTGATAGCGATTGATAGACTTTTTTCGTATGACCACATAGAAAATCGGTCGTTCATATACGAAACGACAACATTTTTCACTGTTCACCTGGATTTTTTCATTCACAATATCGTTATCTGTTAAAACATCCTGCTCATCAACGAAGAGAAAATCATTCAATCAATGGTTCCGCTGAATTTTTCGGACAATTTTCTTATCGTGTGTACAGGGCATTAGAGTCCTTTCACACAGGTGATCCAACCAGCCCACCTGTCAGTTTTTCAGGCGGATCTGATCAGATTGGTCCATGCAGCCCTATGGACTGGCGAGTGTAAGTGGACCGGACTTGCATCCGTTTAAAAGCACCTACCTACCTCTGGGCTAAAAAAAAAAAAAAATTAATCAGATCAGGCCCACTTAAAAAAATTAAACAAAAAATGGAGGACTGCATCTTCTTCTGTTTAGACAGACTGGATCAGAGACAGCAGGGTGTAAACGGACAGCAGAGTCTGTTTATACCCGGCCACCCAAACAGTGGGGTCTGTCCTTGTCCGCTCTCTGCATAAACGGACTTGTCATCCACCCCGTTCTGCTCCACTCAGCAGGGGGGGGGGGGGGGGGGGGAATCACTGGACAGATCCCCTGGTGATCAGAACCGAAGGCACCTGTGTGAAAGAGTTACTTGGGACACAAACAGCAATAAAAACCTTAAGTGTTCTAATTCATATCCACTCCATCCAAAATTAAAGAAAAAAAACTGCCATTGTCACAATATAGGTGCTCTGCCAGCCCCAATTATTAATTCTCTCGTTAATCCCTTGTGCCCAGAGGAAGTACATCCTCAATTAATGTCCCACTCTCTTGTACCAAATGCTCCCAGCTTTAATCAATGCATCCCCTCCACCCTCATCCTGCCAAATGTCCCCAAATTCAATTAAATGTGTCGTCGTCGTCCCCCCCCTCATCCTGATTTATAGCCCAAATTCAATCAATGTATCTCCTTTCCTGGTATCCTGCTTTATTTCCCCAAATGCCATTTAGCGTCTCCACCATTGTCGCCCCTGCCACTATCTCTCTCCAGAGATAGCGAGATTCACACCTCTCCCGGAGAGGTGCGAACCTCCTGCGGGGATGTTCCAGACGGGCCAGAATGACGCCACCCGGTCCTGTCATCCGCAGCGCGGGCACGGAGAGTTCCCGCGCTTGCGGATCCGCTGGACAAAGGTCGCGAGAAGCGCGGCCCATGTCCAGGGGGCGTGCCTCGTTGCCGGGCGAGGAGGCCCGCCCACAGTTGCCAGGTTGACCGGAGAGCGTCCTGCACCAGCTTAAGAAGGCTGATGCCGGGCTCCCCGATCATCTTCTCCGCTGCGCAGCCATTGAGGGAGCCCAGCTGCGGCGGGACCCTTGTGGCTAACTCTGCCAAAGACCCCAAGGATACGGGGGGACCCTGCACATGCTAACCCTGCCTAAGACCCCCAGCCAGAGGGGGGAGACCGTAAACGCCAGCCTGCCTGAGACCCCCAGCCAGAGGGGGGAGACCGCAAACGCCAGCCTGCCTGAGACCCCCAGCCAGAGGGGGGAGACCGCAAATGCCATCCTGCCTGAGACCCCAGCCAGAGGGGGAGACCGCAAACGCCAGCCTGCCTGAGACCCCCAGCCAGAGGGGGGAGACCGCAAACGCAGGCCTGCCTGAGACCCCCAGCCAGAGGGGGGAGACAGCAAGCGCCAGCCTGCCTGAGACCCCCAGCCAGAGGGGGGAGACCGCAAGCGCCAGCCTGCCTGAGACCCCCAGCCAGAGGGGGGAGACCGCAAACGTCAGCCTGTCTGAGACCCCCAGCCAGAGGGGGGAGACCGCAAGCGCCAGCCTGCCTGAGACCCCCAGCCAGAGGGGGGAGACCGCACACGCCAGCCTGCCCAAGACCCCCACCCAAAGGGGGGAGATCGCACATGCCAGCCGGCCTGAGACCCAGCTAGGGGAGAGACCACCTGCCTACTCCGGACCCCAACAGGTACCTGTGTCATACTATCATATCCCTGGGGGACCGGGCACCCTGTCGGATCAGTGAGTGTATGCTTTCCCATTTTGCCTGAACTGTTCCACTACCCCCCTGTTGGATTACAATCTGTCACAGAGACTTTACCTTTGCCCCTTGGGGCTGGACTACAAGTGCTTCGCCCTCTTACTATTCCCCTAGTGGCGAGGGCACCCTCCTTGCAATCCCCCCTATTAAGTGACTGTGTTTGCCTCAATAAAGCTTTGTCTGTTTGCTATCCGCCTCGTGTGTTCTGTCCTGCCTACCCTCCGTCACAGCCATTATTATACTTCTACTTTATTTTGCTCCTACTTATACTTGAATTTGGGTTCTTCTTTAAAGTGATCCATTACTTCAATCGCACCCCACCCTCCACTAAGCAATGGGCCCTCTGGGGCCCTATGCTTACCCTTACTGCCCCGAGAACCACCGGCCACCAATCTATAAAAACTCCGGCACTTCTAGATCTGATGACCCAAGGGGGAGCACGTGCCATACAACACGCAATTGTCAATACTAGGTATTGTCAACAGCCATCTGCTTTTCTCTGAAAACAGTTCACTTTTTTTTTTTTGTTTGTTTTTTTTATTGCAGGGAAGTTTTAATAGATATGTTAGCAGTATGGTTTACGGCATTCTCTCCTGTGGACTTTGGATGTTGGGAGCTGACCTGTCCCACTTCCTGCTCACAGACTGACAGCAGGGTGAGTCAGCTGGGGCATGCAGCGCGTAGGAAGCAGATGGCGAGGAAACGTTTCTGTTTGTATCCCGTTGAGGAAGGAGAAGTAAATAAGTACCTTTGTATGAATTATCGGTCATATCTATGGCTTGCTGGCATACTATGCCTTGATTTAAGGGAACATACAGTAAATATATTTACAGTCCAATATTTATTTATTTCAGGTACTTATATGGCGCCGTCAATTTA